GACTCGGGTTATAAACAAGGTAACTATTCTTAGAAGTAATTTTAACCCCAGTCGAGGCACGCACAACACAGTCAGTCCCATGAACCTCCAAGTAAGGCTTTGGGGGCTCCTTTCAAAGATCTATGAGGGCTTAGGGAACTTTAGAGAGTTCTATAGGGCAAGTTTAGGATTGAGATTAGGGTTTATAGAGGGTTTCGGGGTTTTAAAGTTTAGGGTTGAGGGGGTTATGGTTTCAAAGTTCAAGGTTCAAGGTTTAAGCCTCAGGGTTCGCCAGCGAGCACTCGCCAAACAGCAACTCCAGGGACTCACCGATGTCCTGGGTCGCTTCAGGGTGCTACTATGGGTCCATAGCTTATGGGATTTGGTTTCGGATTATGGTTTCTTCGCATTAGTGGCACGAGGCTTAGGGGATGTGCAGGGTGGCTTCGGGATTCTTTGAGGGCTTGTTGGTGATTTTCAAGAGTTCTGTAAGGGTCTTGTACGGGTTCGATACAGGTTTTGCACGGGTTTCAGGGGGTGTATAGGGTTTCGGGAGTCAAGTTGGATTAAGGTTACGGGCTGGGGCTCAAGGTGTTAAGGCTGAGCAATATGGGCTCCATTCCGCCTCACGCACAAACATGAAAACGAGCGAAGCCAACAGCGAAGCCTCACGCTGATTTCCTACACCAACCGGTCAGCCAGTCCATAAAATGCCCTGGGCTTGACTTTAAACAACAAACCTTAAGATTATCCAACCCATCTAAGCCGACAACCCCTCCTGTGGGTGATATCTGAAGCCCCGAAACCCTGAACCCTAAACCCCATAAGCCCTGTTTATCGAACTTTGAAAACCCTTCATAGAGCTCTTGTGGACCGGCGGCCGATGGGTCTGGATCTTTGCGGCTTGCTGCATCTTTCAGCACATTGCAGGCATTGGCGAGGAGACTCACGGGGCTCATCGCGCTTCCATGTGGCGGCTTTCGTCGAGACTTTCAGAGGTCTTTACAAGGGTTTTAAAGGGTCTTGAAGGGCTCTATAACGGGGCTTGTTAGGTTAGAGGGTTTAGGGTTTGGGGTTAAGGTTGGGGCACAAGATCGCGATAAGCCTGTGTGGTCGGTGAGACATGTTGGCGCTACTAGTGCTCCACAAGCAGGCGCGGGCAGCAATGCATAGCGTCTCGGCGTGCATCAAACTTGGAGCAAACTTCCATGCAGAAAACTTTACGCCCTAAACCCTAAACTGGATTGTCCTGCATCATCGATGTGTAGCAACCGGCAACCAGAATTTACTGTGAGCACCACCATGGTGCCCAGACCTTCCACCTGAAGTTAAACTAGGATCCCTAATAAATCTTTTGGTCTGGGCAGCAATGAGTGCAATCGATTCCGATGGAACATGGTTTTCAAGGGCAAGCATACTCTGCAAGCATAAACGGTGGTTGGAGTTAAACAAAGCTTTAACTTTCGAGCCGGGGCACAAACCCAACATGTGAGCCAACTTAAGCCGGTGGTGTTTCGAAAAGGAAGACTTGCGTCTTTGTTCGTTGTTCTTCTCCTCTTTTCTCCTTCTCGGCACACGACACTGGGGCTGAACAGCGGGCTGAAAACAAGTTTGGCTCAAGCACGCAACAGAAGCGAGCTTGGATTGAGAACTGCGACTGTAACCTGAATTGGAGTTGGATCAAATCGACCTCCACATTGCGGACCACACGAGGGGGTCAAAGCTCGGGCTTCTTTTATCCTACATGCTGACCTGCGACCACGTCGTTGACGTTGACCCGAACCCTGAACAGGGTTGGAGATGTTTAGCATTTTCCCAGAACCTGAGGTTGAAGTTAAAGAACTCCGCAACTTGCAACAAACAGTTTCTCTTGGCTTGAACTTGCCAAAACAAGACAATAAAAGTAATCATTCATAAAAGTATTAACATTAGTAATCATAGTGGGCTGCGTTGTCAAGGCTTCTGCCCGCTACTTCACTGTAGCCGTCGTGGGCAAACTTTGCACGTATTGCAGTCGCGACACATGTGCCTTCGCTGACTACATTTGGTTTTGGCAGTGCTACTTGTCCGTCCGCAGGTGTGTTGCTTGGATGCTTTCTTCTTCATCGCGGCAACCCGCTTGCACACCCTGTAAATAAAACTCGCAAAGATCGTTTTCTAATCAATGTAGAATATAGAAGGAAACACTCCTTCCATAATTACAAAACAATTCAATCACACATAGAAGCTTCACCAATCACGAATCGCACAACTCTCTTTTCACACCAAGTGGGGAGAGGCCCAGTGTCCCCAGTCAAAACGCTGGACAGCACATCCCACTGAAGAGCTGCAGAACTCAAGATTTTTGCAAGATTTGCAAGATAGGTTTCTCCAAGCAAAGCCTACTGCTCTTCGGCCCCATCCCGCTCAGGCGACCAGTGAGTAGAGAGTCACAGCAAACAGACATTAAAACCTGAACTCTAAGAACACCCCAAGTTTCCAACGTAAACCAGTAGTGTTAGTACCTACTCCTCACAGGTCGCTATGCGGGCTGTTGGGCCCCATCCTCCCATGACGACCTGGTGCAACCCCTCAACTTTAAACCCTAGACTCTAAACCCTCTATGTTAAACCCTAAACCTGCAGTGTTAGTTAGTACCTACTCATTTCAGTGCTATTCACTCATCCCACGTCGCCATGGAGAGGATGAGGTCCCGCCCGACACGGTCCCCCGTGGTTGCGCCTCTTCCGAGGTCCCGGTGCCAGTCCTGTACCTTGGCAATCTTCTGTTTCTGTGCTGTCGAAGTTTAGTCGCATGAAGAGTTCAGGGGTTGGGTTTTAAGACTTATATGAGGGTTTAGGGTTTTAGCGTTTAAAATTGAAGGGTGTAAGGTTAAGGGGGGTTAGCAGTCGTAGGGTTCAGGGTTGAGGTTTACGCTTCAGTGGTTCGGGTTTAGGGTTGAGGGGCCTGGGGTCAATTGGGTCTGCAGGTTCGTGGTCACGTGGATCTGCAGCCTCACCCCCAGTTCGGTTTAGGGTTTAGAGTTGAAGGGGTTTAGAGTTTAGGGTTTAGGTTAGCTCAGCCCGTCCCACCCCTAAGAAACTCAGGGCCCAGCAATGGCAGCCGGGGTCCCTCGAAAGCGCCTGTACAGTGCACGAATTCGCCGCCGAGCCTTGGCAGAACCAAAAGAGGGCTTAAGGCTTCAGGATCAGGGTTTAGTAGGGTTTAAGGATGGAGAATTCGTGTTTTGGGTTTCGTGTTTAGGGATTGGGAGTAAAAATTTAGGGTTTAATGACTCAGGACTAGAGTTGAGGGGCAAAAGCTTTAAGGATTAGGGATTGGGGATGGGGGGCGCAAAGGATTACCAGGTTTCGCGACTAAGGCTGAAAATAGGGGTACAGGGATTGGAATTAAGGATTAGGGGTGAAGGGTGAAGGGTTGTGGATCAGGGTACAAGGAAAGGATTCAGGATTTGGTTTGGGGCTTAGGGTGAAGGATTTAGGGATAAAGGGTGAGAGATTAAGGAATGAGGTTTCAGGTTAAGTCATTAGGGATCAGGGTCTAGGGTTTAGGGAATAGGGGATAGGGTTGAAGGATAAGGCATAGGATTGCAGAATTAGGGGAAAAGGGTTGAGGGACTAAGGATTTGTTTTGGGTTTAGGGAGTTGGCTGCATCATTGACTCAAACAAATAGGCTGCACCTATGCCCCCAAACCCTGGACCCTAGAAGACACCCCCCAAAAAACAGCATTTTACGAAATGAAGTGACAGAAGGATTTAGGGCTTAAGCTTTAGGGTTTAACGTTTAGGTTTAAGGTTTAGGATTTGAGGTTCAGGGTTGAGGATTTAAGGTTTTGCGTTTAAAGCTTTACGGCCTCCTTCAAATAGCGGATCTTTAGACGGTTTCTGCTGAACCACCTACCACGCTTTACATCAGGAGTTTACACGACATAAACCTCTATTCCAAAAACCCTTACTGAAACCATCATCTGTATATAAACGCTTTCTAAACACTAAACCTTATACTGCAAGCCCCAACCCTAAGCCTTAAAGGCTGAAACCTGAACCTTGAACCCAAGCCCAAACTCCTGAACACCCTTGTTACAGGCTCAAATGTTTAACCGCAATACATAGGGTTTCTGGATGTTAGTGACTCAAGCTTAAAAGACATTAGGGCTTATGCTAGACTGAAAGGTTGAGGGGTTAGATGGTTAACTTGAAGGACGTGGATGGACCCCTCAAAACAACCATGGATAAAACCCTGAACCACCGTCGAGCAAACGTAGAGATAGTAGTAACAGCGTGCTTCAGCAGTAGCAGGGGGAGCAATAACAACAACATCGACACCAACGACAATCATACGTCTCCATGCTCACCGCTCCGTGACACGGGGGATGCCTGCGTGGCTGCTTGCAGCACAGGGTTTAGGGCAGTTTAGAGTCTTGGGGTTTAGGGTTTAAGGTTTGGGAAATAATTTTGACTGCTTCGGCTGGCCGGGATCTGAACATTAAATTCGCGTGAAGCTAGATCACTCCGTGCCCTCCACCAACACACAGGAGAACGGCCTCTGCCTCGCTCGGCACGGCCTCTGGCTCCGACTTGGCCTTTGGATGGTTTTCGGTTCTAGCGAGGGGCCTTGAGTGCACGCGGGTACAACGAATTGATTGCACGCTACTTCCTGCAAATTGTGCGGCACGAAAAGGCTTCAAGTGAGGGCTGAGTGTACCACGTTTACAAAGCCAGCCTCAACGTCAGCAAAGCCCCTATTCACCACCACACCCTCATACGACAGGTTCGCCTGTAAGTTGTTGTGCGAGCCCGCCTATGCCTCGCCCTCCGATCTCCACCTTAACTCGTGCCCTGAGTACCCCTGATGTCGCCTCCCACGATAAACAACCGCCAGCAGCAAAGGCACGGGCAGATTGTATGTCGTCTGTGTAGACACAGATCTACCCGTACTGCTGAAGAAGTAAAACCGTGATCTCCTGATATAGCAACGGTGTCAATGCCCAAGCATGCGAGCCTCGCATGCTTCGTCGTCTTCAAACTGATTGCTCCGCGACATGGGGGCCTTCATGGCTGCTTGCAACATTTCGTTTAGGCTCGATAGGGTCTTGGTGTTTGGAGATGGAGCCCAAGACCTAAGGGTCCTGTTGGGGTGTTCTAATGATTCTAATGTTTTAGTAGACAGTAGGTGGCAGGCATCTAGGTAGAAGTTTTTGATGGGGTACTAATACTAATAGCTGTAGCAGTAGTAGGAGTAGTAGGAGTAGTAGGAGTAGTAGGAGTAGTAGGAGTAGTAGGAGTAGTGAGAGTAGTAGGAGTAGTAGGAGTAGTAGGAGTAGTAGAAGTAGTAGGAGTAGTAGGAGTAGTAGTAGTAGTAGTAGGAGTAGTAGGAGTAGTAGTAGTAGTAGTAGTAGTAGTAGTAGTAGTAGTCGTAGTAGTCGTAGTAGTAGTAGTAGTAGTAGTAGTAGTACGAGGAGGTATATGGTAGTAATAGAAACAACAATAATAATGGTGGTGTAACAGTAGAAATCACAGAACCAGTAGTAAGAATAATAATCAAATGGTACTTGCAGCGCCAGAGGTTTACGGCAGAGGGTTTCAAGGTTTCTGGCTAATAAGGCTTAAATACAGTGGGCATGGTTTCCAGGACGTGGTCTTACATCAGATCGAGGCAAGCTGTCTGGGTTGGTGGGAGTGCATTTTGCCAACAGGTTGCCGTGCATCCTCTCCAGGAAGTGCATTGCGCGCTGTTGCGCCTCCTGTTGGATCAGACAAGCGGCTTTTGAGTGGGCAGAATGACCCAAACAGTGTCAGCACATACACGTTCCAACAAAACGGTTGGTCGTGGTAACTTGCAACGTCCGGCCTGCGTAACCGAGCCGGCGGGCACCGCTACTTCTGTCCTGGGTTCTGGTGCGCTAGGTCCACAAGTGGTTCGTGGTCAAGAACTGTGGGAATGGTCTTTGGGTGTGGCCGGGGTGGTTCCACGGGCCTCGATGATGGGTGTGAGGTGGTTCCACGGGCCTTGATGATGTTTCTATCTTGGGCATCTCCAAAAAGGCGACTGTTCCTGTGTTTTCTGATTTGCGGCTGCTCAGTTCCCAAACGAGCACCACAAGCATCGCACTGCATGGTAAATATTACGGACGTTCCGGTTCGATGGACTGTTTGGATGGCAGCTCCGCGCCCCCTCTAGACTCCCTTCTTCACACACCGTGCAGCCATGAAGCGACCGGGGTGGCACGGACTGCGTCTCGGACGCGTCCGAGCCAGCATGTACGTGCCAAAAGGTCTCGTTGCGCGTGTTGCCTGGTGCTGAGCTTCGAGCTTACGGCTTGGACGGAAAGTAGTCTGGCTCGGCTTGCTTGTTTTTTGGGGGGAGTCTCGGATAACTGGCGACGAGAAAAGCGGTATTACAGTGGGTTTGAAACGTGTACGGCTTAAAAAACTGCGGGGGCAAACTGCTTCACCAGCACTAGAGGACCGGACGAGGGAACCACAGGACGAACAACGTTAGCACGGAACCGCGACCAGAAGACGACCAGGGCACAGACTACGGCACCAGGGGACCCGAGCGCACCTTTCAAAGGAAAGGAGCCCGAGCCACAGCTTTCAACACAATAAACCCTGGCTCAAATAGTCTAGAGACAACAACTTTAAAGACCGGGCCACTCGGCAGATTCCCGAAGCGCGGCGGGTCACGCTCAGCTCCGCCGCGAAGGCGATCGCACAAGTGCAGTGTTGAGTTGGTCTTCACGTTGTAGAACGTGCGGCCATCTTCCAACTGCTTGCCTGCGAAGATTGGGTGCTGCTGCTCGGCGGGGATGCCCTCCTTATCTTTGATCTTCGCCTTGACGTTGTCAACACTGTCCGAAGCTTCAACGTTCAAGGTGATGGTCCTGCCGGTAAAGGTCTTGACGAAGATCTGCAATCCACCACGGCCTCATGCGGAAGTTGCAGGATTCTACAAAAACAGCATCCTGGGAGTGTCGCAGATGTGGTCTGACAGGCAAACGTGCGGTCATAGAGGAAGATACTAGAGTTCAATGACAATCGAGGTTTGGACATGGAAACGATGAGTACTGGAATAGTGTGCCCTTTATCCTTGGCCTCCGACCCTTGTCTGGAAACACAAAAACGCGAGCCGCTGAAACACTGAACCTGCTTTACAAATTACTCCTTAAGCACTCCAACCAATATATTCTGAACTTTCTCAACTACCCGCCTGCCTTCGCATGCTCTCGGGACTTTGGAATTCAGGACTTCGGATTTCTGGACCCTGCTAATCAAGCCCCATGAACCTTTAAATGGGATGCTTCGCACGAGCACTAGGCCGTCCATTTCCTGGCGCCGAACTTTCGCGAGAGAACCTCTGGGCTCTAGCATAAACCCGAAACCCTAAACCCTAAACCCCAGCCCAGCAAGCTCAGGCCATCTCAGGCCCAATGCTCCTGACACCTATCAAAGCCCTCAGAGTGCCCGGAGCAGGTCCGGGGGTCGGAATAATGTATGAGTCATGAAAGAGCTGGGAGTTTCCGAAAATAGGGGTCCCTAATATAATACCTTAAAAAAAAATCCTCATTAAAGGGACCCCAAAATGAGGGTCCCCTAATTCTCGGAAACGCCCTCAATGCCCCAAGATTCCTTGCAACTGCTGACGGACAAAATCCTGCATTACTCATTATAAGGAATATACCATAGTTCCTACAGTTACCCCAAACCCTAAACCCTAAACCCTTTATAGTTCTTAGGGTCATGCAGGATTTTGTCCATCAGCGGAATCAAGGGTCAAGGACTTCGGAAAAAAAAAGACAACTAAGCCCTAAATCCTAAAAAGCCTGAATACAGGCATGTTGGCTCAGCATGGCGGATGTCTCGTTCACGTCCGTCACGAGGATCCTCAGCCAGACGAACCGAGCTGAGCTTTGGGCGTTTGGGTTCCTCTAAAGGTTCTGCCAGGGTTTCGGGATTCAGGCTTTGGGTTTTTAGGATCTAAAGTTTTCGGGCTTTGGGGGTTCTCGCGTCTCAGGGCTTCAGGGTGTTGGGGTATCAAAAGGGCTTGGGGTTTGGGCCTAAGCTGGCTTAGGTTTCTGGCTGGAAAGGCTTGCAGAAATCCTCCGGACAAGCTTCAGATTGCCAGCGGCGGCGGCGGATAGCCTTCCAACCCCTACACCCCTAAACCCCTGAAACCCTAAGCCACTTTAACGGGTCCCCGAACCCCCTCCTTTAAAGGAGCCTAGACCCCCTCAAACTTGGACGAATCCTTTGTCAGCTGGCTCGGAGACGACTAGGAGGCGCTTTTACAGCCTTTGAAAATATTAGTAGGTAAGATCCTCTGAAGCCCAATAAGAGCAATATGGGAGTTTCCGAAAATTAGGGGTACCATATTTTGGGGTCCTTATAGTAGGGATCCTACTATTCAGGGTACTATATTAGGATCCCCCATTTTCGGTAACTCTCATATAAAAATGTCCCACAGCCCTGACTAGACGAGGGTTTAGAGGACACGGGTCGGGCGGAGAGAAGGCTCCAGAGGGAAGTCAACGGGAACCTGCTTCGGGTTTAGGGTTTAGGGTTTAGGGGCGAAGCATCACCGGCCCTCTGCTCTGCAAGCGTCCTCTTTTTGGGTACTTGAAGGCTCATGGGACTTAGTAAGTAAGGCTATAAGTAGGTTATAATTAGGATAACCCCACTTAGGGGACTTATAACCCCAATTATAGCCTACTTACTAGGTCCCGGGGCGCTGAACTGGTCGGAAATTGCAGTACAGAGGTGTAGCACACAAACTTCGTGACGGCTCAGACACGCCTATAGCAGGTTTAGGGTTTTAGAGTTGAGGGTTTAGGAGGTTAGGGTACCCTAAACCCTAAACCCTAAACCCTAAACCCTAAACCCTAAACCCTAAACCCTAAACCCTAAACCCCTAAACCCTAAACCCTAAACCCTAAACCCTAAACCCCTAAACCCTAAACCGTAGACTTAGGGTTTCGCGCCGAGCCGGGCTGCCCGGATGGCTGCCTGCAGGGAGTGACATCATCATGCAGCCATCTGGAAGCCTAAGACCCTAAAACCCCAAAACCAAAAGCCTTAAACCCTAAAGCCCTAAACCCAAAACCCTGAAACCTAAAACCCTAAAATCCAAAACCCTAAAACCCAAAACCTCAATGACTCAATCGACAGAAACCCTAAAACCGTAAAGCTGCCCGCTATAAAGCCTACACCCCAAATCTGTTCTAAACCCTACACCCTGAACCCTAAATTCTAAACCTAAACCCCTAACCCTAAACCCCTAAACCCCTAAACCCCTAAACCCTAAACCCCTAAACCCCTAAACCCTTAAACCCGTAAACCCCTGCTCTTGCATCAAGGCAGCGATGTACTCGCCCACGGATCCGGGACGCAGTTCGACGACAGTCAGCCCGAGAGCACCCGTCGCGTACAAGCGATCCCCTGTCCTTTGGGTCGGGTGGTTTGGGGTTTCGGACTTAGGGTAGAGTAGGTTTAAGATTTCAGGCTTAGGGGTTTAGGGTTCAGGTGGGAAGTCGGCCTGAAATTCCCCAGAGACTCCAATATCCCTTAATTAAGGGATATTCCTTAGATTATAGTAGGATCCCTTTTATGATTTAAGGAATATTCCTTAATTAAGGGATATTGGAGTCTGTGGGGACTTGAGGTTTAAGACTTCGGGTTTGGGATTTAGGACTTAGGGTTTAGGGGCTAGGATTTCGGGTTTAGGGTTGAGGACGTCGGGTTCAGGTTGAGGACTTAGGGTTAAGGGCTTAGGGGGTCGGATCAAACAAGCCGTCGGCTTGGGGTTTAGAGTTTAGTTTTCGGTGTAGGTTTAGGCTTTTTTTCTGGAAACGAATATCACGCACCTGACCTGTGGATCCCAAAACAAGACATCCGGCTTCGCTGTTGGAATGTGCCGTATGCTCTAAACCCTCTTCCTGAAACCTGAGCTCCCAAACGCTAAGCCCTGAACCCAGCCCGCCCAAGAAGGCTAAAGCCCAGCCACCAGCAGGATTTTGATCAGGAAGTTTTCATGAACCCCAACTAACATTTTGAAGACCCCACGCTCTGACCCAAGATGTTGATGAATCCCAGTGGAATTTTGATGATGAATCTCTTAACATGAGTCCGAATAACATCTTGAAAAAAAAGGGGTAAGATGTGATTAATCCCGGTGAGATGTTCCTGAAAACCTGCGCATAAAGCAACATCGTACCCGAGTTCGCCAAGATCAAGCAGGGACTCGCTCAAGAATCCTCGATGTTGATGCTTTCCAGGAATCCCGGTGATGAATTCCCTCACAGCCCTAAGTGCTCTACCATAAATGAGTAAGAGAGGTTGAGGGTTTGGGGTTCAGCGTTGTCCATGTAGAAAAAGAGGCCCTAACAGCTACTATCACAAGATCTCTGACTTATCCCTAAACCTTAAACCCTAAACCCTAAGGTTCCTGACAAGGCTAGTTTGACACCTCAGCAGAAAGCTGAGGGCTTATTTTGAATGCCCTTCGGAGAAGACAGTCGACGCTTTAGGGCTTAAGGGGTGCGTTCCTCAGGAATCTATAACTAGGGTTATAAACAAGGTGAGTATGCTATTGATTGCTTACAACCCAATTAAGGCACTTATAGCTTCACTTACTAACCCCCACTCCAATTCTCAGGCAGTTGGTGACCATTGGAGACGTGCCTTTCCTAAGCAGTGGTTTTGGGGTTCCCTTGGCTCTTTAGCTCCTTTTATCGTAGAGATTATCATTATCCCTGGCTCCTCGGCTCCTCCAATATCAAAGGTTAGTTTCTTTTGTACCGAGGCACCACTGCTGAGCGGGTCGCAGCAGATGCCCTCGGCGCTTTTTGAGTCATGCTGACAACTGACCCAGAGACTCCAATATCCCTTAATTAAGGAATGTTCCTTAAATCATAAAAGGGATCCTACTATAATCTAAGGAATATTCCTTAAATCATAAAAGGGATCCTACTATAATCTAAGGAACTTTCCTTAATTAAATCGTAGGCCTTGCCTCGGCTCATACTTATTGCTTGTAAGTAGGTTCTTTAAGCAAGGTTCTTTATGGTTCTTTGTCAAGCTTGTCATTGTGTTGCAGGGAGCAAGAGCATCACAAGGTTCGCATTCCTGGGCTCGGGATTTACGTCTACAGCTTTCAACACAGCTGTGAAGATCATGGTAATAATAGAAAGAAGATGCACACAAAACGTATTAGTTTCATGAATACAAGCTTACAAACCGAACAATCTCAATAGTAATCTAGGATGAGCCGGCAGCTCACTGCCTCATCCACAGCCAAAGAGAAACTGCAACGCGCACCCCTCAATGCTCTGCTTGGTTCGTTCTTCAAAGAAAACTACGTTAGCCTCCAAGATATGATAACCATATAGTGAGATACGAAATAGATACTACGTATATATATATATATATATATATGTGTATATATATATACATACATATATACACATATGTTGAACTATATAATTCTCTACTAATCATAGACATTTCATGATTATATTGAATATATAGTGAACTTATACTTGTACCTATGTGCCGTATTTAAGGGGTGTGGCAAGCCCAAGTGACATGATGACGAGGCTGGCAGACAAGCTTCGTTGAAGCACGCATGCATGTGAGCAGAGGTCGCATTCTCCGCAATGTGGAAGCCACGGTGACCACTCTCATCACCATACCCATGATCATATGCCTCAGAAGGCGGCCTACACGGTCGGTGCACTTCGGCGGTGTCCTCAAGTCCTCAAATAAAGCTAGTAGCGAACGGATCGGCAGTGCTACATGCCATCCTGAGGCACTTAAGGGAAGCTCTATGCTGTTTAGGCTGAAGTCGCAAGTCATGCACGTGAGGGGAAACAACTTCAAACTCTACGTCGGCCACTCAACGGATTGGCAAAAACATGCACAGGAACCGCTCGGACACGCTTTTAAGCGAGGCTCTCGTGGGAGCCTGAAGGCAAATCCTAGGACAACGCATCTTTAACGTCTCGTATACAGCAGGACCCATCATGAGCAAAGCTCCAAAAATTCCATCGGAGTCGTCGTCTGCCAAAGCCTCTGTGCACCGGCTGAAACTTGCCTTTGCCCACGACCCCCATGATATGAACTCCATGCAGGTAGTGCTGACAGGCGGCAACAGCGCTTCGGAGGTTCAGGATTGGAAGCTTCCGACAAGATACGGACCTCCAGGGGCCACCTGTCGCCCTCGAAATCAGCCTGCCGACCACAGGTGAAGGGACGAAATCTCAAAGCGAAAAGACTTGCATGAAGTTCAGTGGCGCGAATCAAGAGTTCTGCGCACAAGATCGGCACTGTTCAAAAGGCTCACCTTGAAAGTCAGCATGAGCTGAGTGCGGCAACGAGCAGTTTGGCCAGCATCATCCACGCAATCGTCGTTGGAGGCGTCTGTCGATGTGTGGTGGTATTGAGCTTTCGCAACGCAACCTTGCACTGCAATCGTGGTGCCGGAATCAACATGCTGGGAAACCTTTGGCCGCGGAGTATCAATTAAGATCCCAGCGGTGCTTTGCGGCGCTCCTGTGGCATTCGCAAGTGGATTCTGTAAAACCGATCAACACATCGTCACACTGTGACAGTTCAGGGTGTCGATGCAACATCGGCCTGGATGCAACCACCAGCGCAAGAAAGCTTGGGACCTGAATCTTGTGACATACGCGACACGCCTAGAGTACGCGGCCCTCCGAAGGATTGCTCATGGATACTGCTTGCAGGAGAAACCCCCTACAGGGAACTCCAGAAAGTTGGAATATGGTTTCATGGTAGGATACCCTATAATTTACCATAGAAGGGTTAGGATAATCATATTCCAACTTTCTCGCTTTTACCTTAAACCCTAAACCCTAAACCCCTAAACCCCTAAACCCCTAAACCCTTAACCCCTAAACCAAACCCCTTGCGAGCACCGAATCCGAAGCTGATTTACAAAAAGGATCACGGGACTTAGTAACTAGGGTTATAAATAAGGTAACTAGACTTATAACTATTTAAGGTTATAAGGGTTCCTTTTAAGGGTACTGTAGGGTTCTATGCTAGGCTTCCCTTTAAGGGTTTAGGGTTTTAGGGTCTACTTAAAGGATCATGGGACTTAGTAACTAGGGTTCCTTTAAGGATCCCGTAAAGGGATCTATAGGGTTCCTTAAGGGGATCTATAGGGTTTAGGGTTTAGGGTTTACTTGAAGGATCATGGGACTTAGTAACTAGGGTTATAAATAAGGTAAACATACTTATAATGACTTAGAACCCCAATTAAGGTACTTATAACCTTACTTACTAAGTCCCATGATCCTCCAAGTAGACCCTAAACCCTAAACCCTATAGATCCCTTTAAGGAACCCTATAGATCCCTTTGAGGAGCCTGTTAAGGAGCCCTCCAAGCAGAGCCGGCCCTGCTGGGTGAGCCAATGGCGCTAAGTTTGCTCTAAGTATAAAGCTTAGATCAAGCAGACCCCAACACACATGGTAAAGTGTAACAATAACCGTGTTACAACGTGCACGCTTCAAGCACATGCGGTATCCCTACTCAATGTTCGGCTCAACTTCAGTACTTGACCGGAGGTGAACCATAGCTGTTGCTTCAGCAGCTGCAATGTTAAGAAGCCCGAAAGTGCACCGGCCTGCGCGTAAGCATGGCCTCGACCATGTGCAGTCAAAGTGGGCCATTGCCCACCATGAAGCAAAGCGCCATCGTCTTGAACAATCCGACAAAATCTCACCTCAACCTACGTCCGGCTACAACTTGCCCTGCCCGCAACGGGAAACCGAAAGTTGATTCTGCAGAGTATGAATAGTCGATGGATGTAACCCGAAACTTGCTATACTTTCATAAGATCCGAAGCACGCACAATTGAATCAATCATTGGCATGAACGTGGTGGATTGCGTCTTCATGGGTTTGTGGAAAAGCCCAACGGAAATTCCATCAAGCATTCACAGCCCCGCTCCAACATCGATGCAAGTCGCTTGCTTCCCCTTTGATTTCAGGTTTATGCTTAAACAAACACGATTGGATTCGCATGGAACTGCCGAAACCTACCTCATGAGAATCGCAGCGGTACAGCTAAACGTCCCCAAAAGGGACTGGTCACAAACCTCAAACATCTCTGAAAAACTTTGCCGCCGAAGCACATTACGAACAATCACATAATGAAGCATTGCAACTAGAATATCGTAATGTGGGCTTTGCTGTCTTCTTTCGGTATCTCTCTGCGTGGAATCCTCGATGGTAGTTTAGCAAGATGGCTTCTTTCTCGGAATGCCACAGACAAAACAGATGCGAACAGGTCTGAACCGTTTGGAGTAGCTGCGGGTTTCAGAAAGCGGCGGAGACTCATCTAAACTTGAATCTAAACAGTGAAAACAAAAAAAGAATGTCTGACGCCATCGGGCCCATAATGGTATTATTTACGCGCGGCCCATGCGCGCGGCCACGCGGCCTACGGCCACATGGGTTTGGGGTTTCGCAGCCACTCACTCCTTTGAGCGTTTAGGGTTTCGCACCCACCCATTGCTTTTAAGGTTTAGGGTTTCGCACCCACCCATTGCTTTTGGGGTTTAGGGCTGCGCACCCCCCCACTCCTTTTACGTAGGGTTCAGAGTTTCGCACCCAACCGTTCCTTGTATGAGGGTATGAGGGTCTGGTAGCCGCTGACTCCTGTTAGGGTTCATGGCTTCACACCCACCCGTGCACTCCTTTTGGGGTTCAGGGTTTCGCAGGGGCTGGGGGTTTCGCATCCACCCACTCCTTTTAGGGTGCAGGGTTTCGCACCCACCCAATCACTCGTTGCAGGGTTTGGGGTTTCGCACCCATTGGGGTTTGGCACGCACCCACTCCTTCTAGGGTATGGGGATTTCGTAGCCACTCACTCCTTCCTTTTGGGGTTCAGGGAATCGCACCCACCCACTCCTTTTAGGGTCTGAAGGTTGCGTAGCCACGCACCCGTCCTGGGGTTCAGGGGTTCGCACGCACCAGTTTTTGTAGGGTTTGGGGTGTCGCACGCACCCACTCCTTTTCGGATTTTAGGGAATGATGGTTTCGTAGCCACTGACCCCTTTTGGGGTTCAGAGTTTCGCACCCACCCATGCACTCCTTTTAGGGTTTTGGGTTTCACAGCCACTCCTTTCCGGGTTCCAATTTTTCCACGAGTTTGGGGTTCCTGTTGCCCGCGGCCCCCTGGTGCTGCCTGTGGCTTAGGGTTTAGGGTTTAGGGTTTAGGCATTATACGCATTGGGCCATAGGCAAACGGCTTTTCTTCAGAGCACGGCAGGAATGATGAGCGGCCGTGCCCAAGACTCAGGGCTTGGCTCTTGATTTCCACTCGCTTGCACGTTTTGTCTCCAAGGGTTCGATAACTTGCAAATTGGATCTCCTGGTTTACACGCTGCATTTCATAACGACAAGTCTGTGCACCATCTCTCTTCAGGAAGATCCTCTTTGCAAGTGCACTCCGCAGGTGGGCAACCGCGTCCCTATAGGCGCATGCACGAAAGCCCACCGGAGTGTTGACTGCACGAGCCTGACGTCCATGAGCGGACAAAGCTCCGTATGCAGTGCAGCCCCAGCCACCCTAATAGGATACCATATCAGGGTCCTACTATTTAGGGTACTGTTTAGGGTAGTATTACATTAGGGTAGTATATTAGGGTGTATAACAATCCAAGGTCGTGCGGAAACTTGCTTCATGCACTCGTTGCTGATACAAGACCGAAACATCTCCGTGGGGGCTGCTAGCGTCGCCCTTGTAGGTTGCGACGATGCAGCATGATCTTGCAAACATTAGTTATAAAACTCAAAAGGGGGTCGTTTGCCCCAAGATGGTGTCTTTGGACGCTCCGAATGAGAAGGAGAGTGCAGCAATCCGGGTAGCCTGAGGCCACGTACGTTGACAGAACAGCGTGAAAGCATGTGAGACCTGGTTTCAAAGCTCCCAACATGCAGGACATATACTTGTTCCATCTCATCATGTGCTATGGAAAGCTTGCCCCTGCTTAAACCTCAAGTGGGTCGCGAGTTCATCCAGACAGACTAAGCATGTCTTTTCAATTCCGTTTCCCCCACGAAATGCCGACAAAACAACGATTCAAGGATTCAAGTCTGGTTCATGTCCACTGAATTGCCCAAGTCCTTTGATGCGGCCTGAGACCCTGAATAACAGCCCTACCGCGCCTTTCCCTCCCTTCCACCCTTTCGAGGCCAGAAACGGAATCAAGATATTGGGACTCAAGCTTTAGACCGTTTATGGCCGCCACCCTATAGTAGAAGCCGTAAAGTGGAACATTACAATCCCCATGCCCTTAAGATTAAGGTAAAGTAGAGGGAATCCTAGCACTAGCCATCCTAAATCCATGTTCCAACTTTCTTGGGTTCACTGTATCTATCTGCATCCTTATCAAGCAGCTCGTAGTTGAAACTACGACTTCAACTGCCAGCTATGGGACTTCCTGTTGTTCGGAGAAGCTCCTCGAGGCGGGTCTATAGGCGTCTTGGGATCCTAAGCATACTCCGGAGACTCCGGAGCGTGCGAAGCTTCCTAGCTTTTATATATACTACTCGCCAACAGCTACTGAAAGTGATCCGCCTGACATGAGATGGGAGGGTGATGTATCTTGAAGGTACGACATGTACGACTTTCCTGCATCTGCCTCTTCCTCTCTTGACAGCTCCAGCGTCTTGAACAGTTCCTAGACATCCTGGAATTGGTGAACATTTGTCCTTGGAGTGATACAGGGAATGACAAAGGTTTCACTATTGGCTGTAAGCGGGATCTGCTGATTCTGGATGTCTGGAATGACTGGCCTTTCTGGGGAGCGGCTACAGCTCCTAGAACCATCCTTCCTCACGCCCCCAAGATTCAACAGCTTCTGCATGAAAGCTGACGGGCAAGTCTTTGGCAAACGTCCGACTTTTCTTCAAAAAGAGCTCAAGATGTATGCAGAAGCCTGACTTCAAGAACCCGTGGGATTTCTGCAAACACCTTGCTCATCCTGTGGGATTTGAGGGTCTAGGGGTGCCCAGGCAGATTGCACATGGGGCAAGAGCTCACATTCTCACATCTGAATGTCATACTACTGGCGCCTCCAGGCTGGAAACACCGTGTCCCTGAAGACACATGGAATCGAGCTCCACCCAGGAAGCAAAAGCCTCGGCAACAAAGGATGCGGCTTGGCCGCCCCCCGGCGCAGACAGGCAAAGAAAGATAATAAATCTCCGTGCTGAACGTTCGCACCCAAGCACATCACCCAGTTGTCGGAAAGTTTTTCAGGCCTGCCCTAGCCCCCCTCCCCGACGGAATGATAGAACAGAGCAGACTGAAATCGATTGTTGGGGATGGTCGCTTGCATCAGTTCCCATACGCCTCAATGCACGAGGTGACACTGCGTGAGCAAACCCGCCGTTTTGCTTACAGCTCGCCGAACCATAAGAACGGTGAAACAGAGACAACAACATGCATGGCAAATAACGAGTTCACAATCACATTAATGGTCAGAATTGCATTACCTTTGTTGCAGCCGTGATCCTGGCAAGACCACATACAGTGGCGACGATGACAAACAAGACAACAATCCAGGATTAGCATGCTCAGGCTGATACGGATCGCGGTAACACTGCCGGTGCTCTGCGTGGTTGCACCTTGGTAAAGCAAGCTATGTGGGATTCATCTCAGGATGGTGCAGCATCGCATTGCTTGACAGCCTCAACTCAAAGGCGGCGAGGATGTGAAAGACCTGGCCATGCTTTCGGCTAAAGAGCCTTAAGTGATTGATATCAAGATCGGACGCCGAACTGGTGTCCGCCATACTACCCCAAAACCTTCGGGATCCAGCCAGGCAAACCAAAGCCCTCTGGTTGCTCTTGGCCTGGGCTGGTTTGCTTGGAGGTTCATGGGACTTAGTAAGTACAGTTATAAGTACCCTAATTTCATATAAGTGTAGGTACCTCATTTATTTCCCTAGTTACTAAGTCCCATGAACCTCCAAGTACTACTGCGCGACACACCGTTCGGGGCTTACGGTTGATTCCCGGCCAAACATAGTGACCGAGACTCCTTTTTGAAAGCAACAGATGCTAAAAGAAAGTCTCCGACTGCACCAGCAAACCTGGCCGTTCCATACCACCGGAACCCCGGTGTGGACACTGAAACGGTCGAGGGCTCAGAAATGCTTAACCGCAAGGTGGACGCTGAAAGATGTGTATTTCCGCAACGCGATGCGAGTTAAACCCTCCCCTCGTACTGACCTATACTGGAGTCCCCCATACTACCGAAACCTCCTGGGTCCAGCAAGCCGCAGCCCTGTGGTTGATCTGGGCCTACGCTAGAGTTCAGGTGTGCAAAGGGGGAAGCTTAAGAGGCCTCTCGGCAGGCCGGCATGAGTAAACAGCGGCGTCTCGAAGCTTAGCAGAATTTCCATGAACACGATCCTGACTTTCTAGTCACTCTTCCTGTCAAGCTGACATGGTTTGTAGGCATGCATCCAGTGGCATTTCGAACTAGCGGACCACATCTCGGAGTTTACCAGGCCGTACAAGGATCAGAGTGGATAACATGCGAAAGGGACAATTGGGCTGTATTGGACAAGCAGGCTGTAGGGCCGCGATGCGAGTGATCTGTCAGGATCTGTCACAAGTAAAACAGTCGGGGTGCCTAAGCGAGCCCGTCTGCACACATATCTGAAATTGGCTATGCCGGCATGCATGACTTTTGCAAGGGTTACACACCATGATTTACAAGGAAAGCATGTGCCTTGGAGCCATTGATTCCGACGGATACCCGGCATCTCGAAGAAGTGAGCTGCCGGCCTGTTGCAAGGCAGCTGCTGTTACAACAAGCCGCGGAAGCACAAAGTCATATGCCATGTCGGTACGGATCACCGTTGAGGTGCCCGTGCCTGCCAGCAGGACATCCAAACACCACGTGAGCACGCATGTGAGGACCACCCTGAAAATCATTGCCAAGATCAATCAAGGACGACTCTAACACCGGTTTGGACACGAATGTATACTGTTACCCGGATGCCGTGCACAAGTCTACTGTATAGCTGCGTGCATAGCCACATAAGAGCTCACCAAGGTTCTGAACATGTTCGACAATGGTTTGAAGCGGCTAGCAACATACACACGCTTGTCTTGTGCAGCGCGCCAAGCTTAGCAAAGCATTGCCACCTTGCTGGTGTTATTCGCATGCTTACAGACCTGCAGCCAAACAAAATGCTAGCAGCTGTGTTTTGAGAATTGGAGCTTGGCCCCAACAGCCCCCGAGAAGCCAGCATCATGAGCATGAGTGGAGCTGCATCTCCCTCTCTCTCTCTCTCTCTCTCTCTCTCTCTCTCTCTCTCTCTCTCTCTCTCTCCTGATACCACACATGTGCCCCTCCAACAGGCTAACTATGTGAGCTATAGTCTAAACTCTTTATGTCCCCTTACAGTGCCTTACAGTAGTCCCCTAGCCCCTAACCGTCCCCCTTTAAAGAGCTTAGACTATAGTTCATGTCGGAGCCTCGGGCATTGATTACCGAAGACGCCATGATACTGATGATGTTCGCCCAAAGTCGGCGAAAACATATGCTTCCGGAACCAAGGGCAAAGTGACAATTTTCGGGGTAGTCATTCTTCGGGATTTGGCATCTTGCTATGACTTCCTGTGCAGCCCCAGTCATATGCACTGGCAGTGGCTATGTTTTTGTTACTTTGAGGCGGTCAAGGTCGGTTCGATGCCTTCGATAGCCCGGAGTGCTGCTTCTGCAGGGCCTGTGACACAGAGCAACAAGGCACACACTGTGCAGAGCTTATTCAGCAACAAGTGCCCACACCATGAGCCCTTCTGGCACGAACACCTGTAGTGCTTCGCATGCTGCCTCACCCTGAGCCCCGCCTTCTCGCTGCTCAGTCTCTCAGCGATAGCACTAGCGATCTGCAATGCTGTCTTGCCCCGGCAGTCCAGAGGGACAACCGATGGTGGGAGCTTTATCTGGACAAGGGTCTGGCCCAACCCGTCTTGATCGTAAGGGTGATCTCCACCCCAGGGTGGCTCTGGCGGGTAGGTCTGCTCTACCCGCAATGGCAGCACTTCGATGGAGTTGTCCAGTGCGAAACGAAGCTCCCTGTAAGAAGAAAAGTGTGATGCGCTCACTTCGGCATAGTTCCAGGTGCAAACTGCCAGGATGATGCCGCTTTCCCTTTGAATCCTGCCTAGGCAGGCCATCATGGTCTCCGCGACATCAGCTCCCGCATCTGTGTCCACCATCAATACCTCGTAGTTGCGCAAGGTCAAGAGCTCCTTCACGGCCCGCATCTGCATCATCAGCGGTCCACGGTCGAACCTTGCCGATAACATGGCAAGGCGAGAGCCAACGCCATCTGGGATGCTGCTGACCTGGCGCCAGCGACGGAACGCTTCACTGCACAGACATACACCCGATTTCTCGACCCAAACATGAGGGGCAGGTCCTGTGGGATTGTCTCCTCGGATGTTTCATGCACCTTGAAAAGAAGCGAGAGCTTATCCTAAATGGAGCTGCAGATCAAGCTGACTCCCCTGGCGACGCTACTGGGCCGCTGAAAAACCAAACTGAGAGTACAGTGGAACAGTTGATGACAACAGCATAGAAAATGAAGGTAGTACGCTGCGACGAACTATGGTATCTCTAAGTGTCGCCGCGTACTGTCTGCAGTTCTGAGATCTAGCTGAACACTCGTCAGGAGTATGTATGAGCAAAGTGGCACCCATGTTTGCTGTGCCTACGGCGAATACGCAGAAAAATCAGGGCATGGATCTTCTCATATTTCGATTTGTTGATGCATGTTGCCAAGCTCGTCAGAATTATGCACCACCTACAAGGCTTCTTGCAACTTCAGAAAGGAGCGAGTCTGCTCTACATCAAGCACTTTCTGCCCTCGACAATCCCGAAGCATCAGGGACGCCGCCGTGTAATCCCAAAGACTCCTGCATTCACTCCAAACGAAACAGAGCACCACGGGAGACGATAGAATCCAAGGGTCGAAGATCGCGATCGGCGGATGATCCACGCCCTGACCAAAGTACGCATCAGAAGGAATGTGCAGCATATCCAACCAACGTAACCCGCCTAGCATAAGAAACCATGTCGCATCTTGTCTTGGATAAGTGACTGGTGGGGGCTATGTCTGGCCTGTGGTTTATGAGCATACTTACACACGTAGCCTGCTGACAGTGTTGTGAAGCAGAAAGCGAACAAGAAACTCGTCGCGGTAGCCCTTGCGAAAAAATCGGCCAGGGATTGCCCGGGTGCATGCTTGCTAGATCTTGACAGTAGGCTGTACACAACGGAAGGCACCTCCTCACCCCAAAACCTGAGCCCCATGTGTCCTCTGACCCTACACAAAGAAGCACATCCGCATTCCTGCTTCGGTGCATGCAAACAGAGGCCGCGATTGCGAGTAGGTGACAGCTTGTGGCTGAAGGCTTTCAAGCTCTGGCCTCTGCTTGTCGAGGCCGGCTTGTCGTGGAGCGCATCTTCACCAGAGCCTATGACCCAAAGCTTGTTCAGCAACAGGCTACCACACTCACACTATGAGCCTGTCTAGCACGAACCTGTGAAGTGCCTCGCATGCTGCCTCGCCCTGAGCCCCGCCTTCTCGCTGCTCAGTCTACCAGCGACATCACTGGCGATCTGTATTGAGGTCTTTTCTCTGCAGTCTAGATAGACAAGCGATGGTGGAAGCTTCATCTGGACAAGGGCCTGGCCCAACCCCTTTTGATCATGAGGATGATGCTCACCGAAGGGCGGCTTTGGAGGGTACGTGTCCTCTACACGCAAAGGGACCACTTCGATGTCGTTGTCCAGCGCGTAGCGGAGCTCTTTGTGCGAGGAGTATTGTGATGATGTAACCTCCGCATAGTCCCGGGTGCAGACAGCGAGGATGACTCCATTTTCTTCTTTAATTTGGTGCAAATACTTCAACGTCGCATCACCAAAGTCATCGCCCGCACCTGCCTGGACAATAAGAACTCTGTAGTTGCGCTCGGCCAGGATCTTCTGCACACTTCGCATCTGCATCTCCACTGTCCCACCATTAAATCTCGCGGAGATCATAGCCAGGCGAGAGTCGGAGCCATCTGGGATACTGCTCGCCTGGCACGAGTCCGCTCTTGTTGGAATGGCCTGCGCTTCTTTTACACGATTTGCTAGATTGGGGTAAACGCTTCACTGCACAAACACACCGCAAATTCCTGGACCTAAACATGGCTGGCAGGTCCTGGGCTTTTGCATCCTCGGATTCAGGCACCTTAAGATGCGCAAATTTGGGGATCTCCATGGACACGATACTGCTGCTACCGGTATCGGGTCCCCATGGAGACCAAGCCGAGAGCAGCACGACACGCTGCTTGCGCTTGCACAAACACCATACCAAGAAGCAGAAGGATACCAGGAGGCAAATGGACCTGGAATCTTGCTGCAACATCACCGTGGCTGCAAATAGCCATTCACCCCCTGCGAGACTTTTCATCCAAAGCCGCTTAGCTGCAAGCACATTCATGCCTTCGCAACCATGCCATGCAACCATACTAAGCCCTAAACCCTAAACCTCGAAAACCCCGGGCAGTGCTTTCCTAGGCCTCTGCGGCTGAGGGACAACGAGGTTATGACCACAACGACAGCGACATCTGCCTCGCAGCGGACTTTCAAATCATGAAGGGAAAGCTTTCTCAGCTCAAGGCAGACAAGGGGCCTTGTCCTGGCTCTCGCTTTCGGCATCTGCCTGGAGGCCAACATCTTTGACAGATCTTTCTCGCTCTGACAGACTCAACAACGCTTCGCACCAACCATCTACTCGATGCCATACCAACAGAATCCTCGGCGCAAGGAGCGCAGAAAGCAACCGATTGACAGGTTGGCCTCCTGGTCGTCCACTTCCACTTCCTGCCAGAGAAAAGTGGTGGGGGCAAGGCTTTACTCAGGCCTCATGCTGATTCTTGGCTTTCGCGTAGAAGCCCCACCTCCCTCTGTACCTTGCAGTAAGAGCCGTCGTCATGAACTGTGAGGATACGGACCCAAGAGGAGTGCGCTGTTCAGGGCTCCCGCTGCTTTTTGGGGTCTCCTTCAAGCCCAAACCGCCCTAAGCCCCGGCACCTTTTCAGTGATGACCTGACGAGGTATCCCGAAATGGCCAGGAAGGCCGATTGCGGATGTTGCTGAGAGCTTGTCTTCTAGAACGCCATCCCGAACACTCTTCAGCTCAATTAAGGGTGCCACAGTCCTCGGGCAGCAGCAGGACATGTTGCGTGTCAATGCTGGCAAATGCCTCAGCAGATGCAAGCTGCAGCTTACTGATTACTGCCCTGCTCAGAGACTGGGATTTCTTGAGGAGCATGCGAGCGGTACACCAACAGGTTCCAGAACTTGCCACAACGACGGGCTTCCGCGAGCTGCCTGTCATGCCAAGCCGGTTCGTCCGGAGCGTCACCGTGAGACGGCGTCTACTTTCCTGGACCTTGTCCCTCAGGCGCAAGATGAGGTCGCTGGGATCCTCCCAGGTGCCTAGACGTCAAAAGAAGGAGCACGTGGCATGATCGAGCGGAAGAGCAGATTCTGATGCAATCAGGCTGCCTGCATTGCCCTGTAAACGCCTCTCGGCACTGCCAAGCTGTCCTGGCCATGCTCGGACAAAGCTGTGAGCTCTATCTGGTTACCTGCCAATCCTGATCGATCCGGGCCGGTGACTGCAAACCTTAGGCGGACTGCGAACACCAACTCCATCGTGAGATTCATCATACTGCCAAGTAGCGACAGGATCTTGCCTGTCAAACTGATGGCCGTTGTCATCCTGAGACAGAAACACACCCCTTGAAAAGCCAGATAGCCTGCAGAACTAGCAACTTAATGTCTGTGGGTGCTGTTCCTTCTTCCACGTCGCTTACCTTAAACTTGGAAAAGTCCTCAGAGTCATTGTGCAACGGCATAGTAGCGGTTGAGATGTTGCTGGCAGTCTGTCGTTGCACTCTCATCTCGCGCCGATGAAGCTTGGATTTCTCACTTGCACACATCTCCCACATCCTGGTGTGATTCACGTCTATAGCCATAGGTTGTGTTCTCACGCAATCTAGAACAAAAATTCAGGGAGTGAGAAAGACTGAAGAACACGCCACATCGATTCAAGAGACCTTGAAAACTAAACGCCATCGAAGGTGCTCGCGTGGGATTTCGAGCAGGAATTGGAGTTGAAGTCCCACCGCGGCTAAAGACTCCGTCGCGCCCGTCTGCAACCTCAGCCACCCTTAACGGCCTCGCAGAGCTAATATGTGCTCAGGCGTTAAGGGTCTGGCCGGTCCATCGGTATGATCCTGAGCTGCTGTCATGGTCCGAGCTTAAGCCAGGTTCGCCAAAAATTCTCCCCCCGCCCTTCCCATTCCTGCGTTGCAAGGCTCGCCGTTGCAACCTCAAGCGCCTCAAGGCTGGTGTTGCCTCTAGAAGAACGCCCCAGCTCGCAGGGCTGCCAGACAGGTATAGCGGCGCCAGAGGGACCTGCAGGGAAGGAGAGCCTGATTCTTCCGTCGCATCCGTGTAACGCACTGGGCCCCTGGCAGGTCTTCATTGGCGTGCCGGCATCGCAAAGGCCGAACGGCAAGCAACCTGAGTGTTGAAAACCGGAACTGAAGATCGAGGAGCCTGGCGGTCAGCAGAAGCCTGAATCCTTCGATAAATGGAAAACGGGTGGCGTGATCCATCACTACTGCATGCGAAACAATTGTTGAAATGGGCGAAGCTAATCAAGAGAGTTCATACAAGGTGCTCGTTCTCTGGATGTACACCGTCTCACTGAGGATGTCGAGCCTCAGCACACACACACACACACACGCACACATAGTAGCCAAAGCCGAGCCTTACCCCACCATTAGAGGTCGTCTCGGACCGGATACATTGTTGTGGGGCGTCCCTCCATCTCCCGCCAAACCCCTAGGTATATACCCTTAATATAGCTATTATATACCCATTATATAGCCCATTATGGGGTAGGGGTCGCTTCAATCTGCATTCGCCAGCGATATGGACTCTCGGGGTAATCTCTCCTCAGTCCAACTCGCCCCATCCTTGTCCTCTTGAAATCTCCTTGTCATGCGGCACCCACGACAACTGTGCGAACCCTCCCAGACCATCCAGATGTCCTCCATGTATCGCGGCCGTACCAGCACTGAAAACGTTAACTCTGGAACTACGGTTGATGATATAAATCCTGCAAGGAATATACCATAATTCCCATAGTTTAGGGTCCTTAAGGTAATGCAGGATTTATATCATCAACAGTACTACGAGCTGACAAGTCGACAGCTACGACAGCCGAGGTGAGGCCCAAGCCCAAGATGCCCTCCCTGCATGGAGCTCACGACCCTCGAAGGAGTTCAAGCGCGGCCCTGCTACGACTTCATCAGCCGGAGCGTCTGAAAGCGCCGAGTTGCTGTGTTTTATCTCAAAACATTGGACATGGTGTCTTTGACAGAAGCCCGTGTGGCGCTGTGGGAGCGCAATTTCGGTCCAAAGGCACCCCAACGGCAGGCTTCCGGAGACTACAGGCTCCTGTTTCACTGTTTCAGGGGGAGATCCGAGACTGGACTGCTGGTCCCGGGATGCGTTGCCGAGGCTGAGAAAGTCTACGAAGGCAGCCATGGGACCATGTACGGCCTGATTCGATGTAGTATGCAATGCTAGACATGCTAAACGAAGCGCATCTGATTTGGCTGCATCCAGGCAGCTGCACGCAGGTCTGGCTGCCTCGAGCCAACTCTTCTTGGGAGCATGGCGTCGGACATGAGCTTGCAATGCCACCTGAGCGCGTCCGGAGGACTCGCAGGTGAACTCTTTGGGGCAAGTCAGAGCTTTTCCACTTCCCTGGAGCTGAGTCTTTTGAAACACGACACACTTCAGTAATGTCGTTGCCTAACCTCGACATTGCACGGCTCCAGTTCAAGCGAAATGCCACTGCTCTCTCGCATCATGATTCGGGCATATTCAGGCTGAGATACAAGTGGCTTGGATTGATGGAGCCGAGCGAATTCAGCGACAGCACCAGCAAGTCAGCCAAGCAACTGATGACCTTTGCCACGCACAGCGTGCCATTCGCATCCTTGGAAACAATGACCACGAGACAGCTACTGAAAGACTGTCAAACGCAGGTTGCAAGCCAGCACTGAGCTTTGGTCCAGTGGGTCTGGGCAGCGCAGCCTAAGTTGCCATGGCCGGGACACCGAGGCATTCCGAAGGCGGTAATCTTGGCCATCGGCGAATTCTGGCCGCACGGACAAGGCGCTTCCCTGCCCACACAAACCTTCCAGGTCATCTCTGGCACACCTGCGCGGAGGCACAAAGGAGTGTCAGGCAAACGCCCGGAAGATGCAGGATGGGGAGACCTTACCTGGCCTGCCGTGCTGTAATCTGTGATCTCGCAGGCTTTCTGCCTAAGAGAGAAGGCCGGAGGAAACACTGCGACATTTGCACGCGCAACCCTCCTTGCCACAGAGCCGCCACTGCTCGCAGGGGCACACGGCGGCCTTTTGCAACCTGATGGACACTGTTCCCCCCAATGTCACAACATGTCCACCACCGAAACTGGAGCGGCTCTGGATGGAGCGCATGCATCACTTCGCAAAGCCAACCGCCAAATCTGACGCCCCACCCATGGAATCCATAGAGGAAGTTAGAGACGGATCAACATCGGATCAACACTAATTAAACCCTCTTTGATCCGGCGCTTTTCAGGCAACTGGGTGACGCAGGGAGGCAAAGCTCTGCTCCGGGGCATCGCTGCGTGTTTGCGCCACAGGGACACGGTGCGGTTGATGCCCAGCAGATTTCTCGAGAGCCTGCCACAGGTCTCGCCGCACATTGCCGGCTGCTTTCGCTCGTCCTCGGGCCCTGCCTGTGAAATTCCCGTCGGGAGTGTAGTCCACGACGACACAAGTCTTCTCGTCAACCGCACAGCAGGCCGCACCCTGTGGCTTCGGATGAGAAGACCAACGTTTTGTGAGATCAATCGCGGCAGGAGCGCTGCAAGACCCACAGAGACCAAAACTTCAGAGCAAAGCTTCCAGCGGGCGGGGGCAGTGCATGTGGGAGCGTTAGAACAGTTGCCCAACCCAATTCCCGCCCTCCCTCTGCCTTGAAGATGCAGCGGTTGAGGGCTGCGCACATCGTCGCCCCGCGCCCACAGGGGCAGTCGAGCAGGCTTGCGGCACACTGCCTGCTGGGAGGCACCATGCCTGAGATGCCCAAACGCAGTTCGCAGCTGCTCCTAGGATGTCTTGCAACGTGCCAAGGCAGTCAGGGCTCGATCTTCCATGCCGTCCGGGAAGAAGTTTTGCACTATCGGGCACTCGATTTCACCGGGTGCGCAGGCCGGACAGTAGCCTGCGCACACCAGCACTGCGAAGGGCTGTGTTGACACAAGGGTGCGCCACGACATAGCATGCGACGGCCGCTGACCTCCCACTGGTAGGCATTCCGGTTCGCCCTGGCCCTGACATGAAAGTCGGAGCTCATTTGAGGATGCGGCATGCCGAAGCCTCATGGTGCAGGCAAGGCACAGTGCTGCACGGGAAGGAGCCCTGTCCGCAGCCGCACCCGGTCGCGATTGGCACCTGACGACTCAGCGTCTCCAACGTTGCAATGTTCCAGGTAGTGACGTGGGCGGCACCAAGCTTGGCAAGCAAGCATGCATCCATCTGCGAGGACTCGTTCTGCCAAGACTCACAGGTCTCTTCTGCGGGTAGGCGATTCCCCTGAGCATCAAAACCTTACCAAGCATGCGAACGGCACGGTCAGGCCAGGCGGGCACGGGAAGGTGTATAGAGTTTCTCCCCCGCCGAAACCCGACCCTTATTCGATCTCGCCGCGCACTGAAATCAATTCTCCCGCTTCGTCCCAGTTGCTCGGTCGGTAGCAAGGCTCTTCGCCGTCTGGGCAGACCAGGGGACAACGGCTGAGCCCGAGACCTCAGTGAGGCGCGCAGATAGAAATCGCACAGGCCATTTGCAAGCCACAGCTCTTCCTGCAGCAAAGCCTCGTGGAAGGCAGTAGGATTCCTGCGCAGAACTCACAAAACACAGCTACGGCGTGGCGCCGGAATCCGCCGAGGCCACAGGCCCAGGCGTCTTGGGAATCATATCAGGTACCCTCCATCTAGTCCGAAAGTTTGGAGACACTTTGCGTTCATTTTTTTGTCCTCCCAGACCCCCTGCCCACCTCACCCCCCTTCCCCGCCTCCCCTCCCCCTCCCGTCTCTTTGCGCGGTACGGCCGCTACAGAGCCGAGGCGGGCGGCGTAGCGTTAAAATCTTCGCCCTCGCAGAGCCCTTTGAGGGAGAACTGCTTGGAGCAACCCGGAGCTCCTGACCGGCACCGCAAGTCATGGCGTTCTGCCCACAAGGGCAGGCCACATCGGCGTTGAGGCACTCCTCTCGAGTGCCCTGAATCGCACCGGAGACACTGTAGTCCTCAGAAGATTCGATCGCTTCCCTGCTCCTCACTTCCCTATGCTGTGGCTTGCGTGGAAGACGGCTTTCGATCATTCTGCAAAACCTGTACGACTCGAGCTCTCATCCAAGGCGCGCCAATGATGCAAGTCTTGCCCACGCAGACTTCAGGACACGAATCAGCTGCTGGCAAGCACTCTTCCCTGTGGCCCCTCGTGACTGCTTCCGACTGATAGCAGCTGAAGCAGCATTGCAACCGGATTGAATGCGAGCAACGACTGAGAGGCTGAGCTCCATACCCGCTTGCATCCTGAGCGCATTGAAGCTTGCAGGCTCAGCGCAGGGACTCTTCGGGAATTTCTGAGAAGTCGCCGTCCAGTTGCATGCCATCGCATGCTCTCCGCAGATGCACGACCTTGCAGACACCCTCATGGCAAGCAAAGCATGCGGCACAAGTGCCAAGCCATGAGGTGCCGGCTGCGAGTTGGCAACGCAAGTCGTCACCATCAGTGTGCTTTGGTCGCGCCTGCCTCAAGCCCAGGTTCGCTGATGAAAAAGCAGAGGGCGGAAGTGAGAGCGAGATAGCGAGACGGGGTCGATCCGCACTTTACGGAACTTGCAGAACTGTTGACAAAGCTTGCACAAGCTAGACAAGCTCGGTGCGCCGGCCATCCGCTGTGAAGGACAGGCCATAGCACCAGCGGTGTGTTGCCAGATCGCAAGTCTCAGGACAGCCATTGCTCGCCTCGACATCAGCGCAGATCTCACACTGAGCCCGAGCCCAGGAAGGCTTCCAACATTTGCCAAAGCGCCGCCGCGCAGAAGTCCTCACGCTGGCCGGTGCAGCGAAGAGCATTCTCACCGCAAGGGCAGGCTGCTCCATCAGGAATGCCTGCAGAGGAGGCAACGAAAACAGGGGGAGGGAACACTTTCCTAGAATATCCTAGAGTCCTAGAATGTGACAATGCACTTCGTGCGCAGGCTTGAGACAATGCGGCTCCCCGTGACTGCGCTACATTGCGCTACCGCAGAATGAGTTGCAGTGGCGTATTTATGTGGCTTTTTCCAGCTGGGTGTCATGTAGAGGAAGAGTTCTGCCGTCGTCCTTGCCCATCGAAGTTGTCCTTAATTTCAGCTTCGCTGGTGTGCGCAAGGCAGGCGAAAGGCCACAGGCGGATTCAGGCACTGCATCGGTGAATCTTCACCCAAGGTGCAACAAGACATTCTTGTCCCTGACATACTTCAGGGCAGTCGAACTCCCGCGGGACACAGAAGGTCCCGGAAGCACCAGCACACCTGATGTGTCACGTGGCCATGCCGGGCTGCTTCGCTTTAACACTGAGCTATGCCTCACACGTCTCAAATCGTCTCCCAACGTCTCGTCTCTCAAGTCCCAGCAGCTGCTTGGCAGTGCTGTCGCACCACGGGTCGGGGCACGGTCCGGGGTAGCACTCCTCCACGAAGCGCCTCGGGCTATGAACAGCAGATTTCGACAGGACGTACGATGTATCCGGCATGGGTATATGATGGATGCTTACCAGATACCAAAATGGAATCC